GCTGCTTGGCCTGCTGTGTTCATCCAGCCCTGCACCTTGTTGTCTCAGATTCTCCAGCATCTGCAATTCCTACTATCTCTTGTCAATCATGATTTCTCTTTCACAAAAAACCTGTTGACTCTACCTGATTGTGTAATGATTTTTCCAATTTCTTGTGGCTAGTAACCCACGACATTGTTTGGAGAATCAATGCATTCCATGTTGCATTACTTGAACTTGTATTTGCAACGAAATATGAATTAACAGCAGAGACTTGATCTAATAGCCAATACAGATACATATTTGCTGTGACTATCCTGGAAGGAATTATTCCAAGATGTTTGAATTTCAGAAAAGAAAAACAAAATGTAGGAGGAGGAGGAGGAGTGATAGTTCTGATAATGAAGAATATACTTAGTAGATCAAGATGTAGAATCAACTTGAGTGAAGCAATGGGCAGAATGCACTGGTAGGAGTAACTTATAGAGTTCCCATCAGTGATATTATTGTAAGATAAAGCATAACCAATGAAATGAGAGGTACATATAACAAATACAGTAATTGTTCTTTTGGATTGGTCAAACCAAATGTGTAATAGCAGAGAGGATGAATTTATAGAATCCATCAAGGGAGCTAAAGTAGAACAGCTGCTTTCGTTCTAATTTTGTGCAATTAGACACAGTTAATTAATAATTTCATAGTAAATAAACTCCAGGGAAAAGTGATCATAATATAGAAATCTGTACAAGGTTAGAGAGTGATTCCATTAAGCCCGATACTTGGGCCCTGAATTTTAAATGAAGCAAACTGTGTAGGTATGAGGTGCAGGTTGACTGAGGTAAATTGAGAAACTAGATTGTGAAATAGGATAGAAATCTCTGGAAATATTCCCCAGGTTTATTTGAATCTATGGGGTAGGAAATACAGTTAACCTTTCAAGTCAGTGAGCTTATCACTGAGCTCCCACCCCACGCCTATAGGTGATTTGTTTCCAATGTTATTTCTTACCTCAACCCAAACTTGATTCTACATCTTGATCTTCAGAGCCACGATCATTTCTCACTATTGTACTAATCTCATCCATGATTACCCACCTCTTCTTCCTTTTGAAATATCAAATACCCTTGAATATTTATTTCTCAGCTTTGGCATAGGGGAACACCACCACCCACAAGTTCCCCTCCAGGTCTCTCTCTATCTTGACTTGGAAATATATCGCCATTCCTTCACCGTCGCTGGGTCAAAATCCTGGAATTCCCTCCCTAATGGCTTTGTGGGTCAACTGACAGCAGGTGGACTGCACCAGTTCAAGAAGGCAGTTCATCACCACCTTCTCAAGGGCAGCTAGGGACGGGCAATAAATGCTGACCAGCCAGCAACACCCACATCCCACAAATGAATAGAAAAGAAAGAAATGATCACCTTGCAGTCATATCTCTCTAATGACTATCATAGCTTCATGTTTATCTGCCATGTGTCTCCCCATTTAATTTAATGCAGAGAAATGGTGCATTTTGGTAAGAATGAGGACAGATGGGCTGAATGGCTTTCTTTTGCTTTATTACTCTATGAGCAGGGTTTCCTATCAATGGGATGAGGTAGAGGACTGAGGGAGTTGATATTATAGAACTAAAAGAAAGCAGTGTTGCTGGCAGATGTAGCAGAAAAAGCTGAGCTTGGGACTGAGCAATACATTTTTAAACTTTAATGTTAGTCAGACATGTTCATGAAGTCAAGGTCAATCATATAAAGGAAAGGGTGAGAGAATGACTTCATGTTTAACAGCATTGAGCAGGAATGAGTGACAGCTCCTTCTGCTCTTAACATATTAAGTCAGGCAGATACATCAGCAAGCTAGCTGGAGGTACCAAATAAATGAGGAGAAGGAGGTCATTGGAGTCAAATGATTTGAATAGTTAACAATTACATATCTGAGTTGGCAACCTCTGCTTCAAATAAGGGATAAACAAGTCCTCCAGTGCTTCAATAGATAAATGTGCTGTGCTGCACAGGGAGGGAATGCCAACCCTAATAAGATCAGTTTCACGACTGCACAGCTTGTTGATTGTGATTTTAAGGTGAATATTTGCCACTTGGTTAAAGTGGGTGTTGGCGAATAACTATAAAATTTCCCTAGTTTTCTGAAAAAAAAAGCATCATGTGAGATTATATTGACTGCATAACCTTAATTCAATGTAACACTTGTTCTTTTCTCTTTCCAAAGAAACTGGAAGAAAAATTCAGACTTAACAGACGGGAACTGATAGCATTTGAGTTTCCAGTGTTAGTGGCCTTGGAATTTGCTCTTCATCTTTCTGAAAACGAGGTGCTGCCACACTATAGGAGACTTACCCAGCATTCTTAGCCCAAACTGTATATTAGCTGATGCGGCCCAGGTTCTTGTGATAAGCATGTGTTCTCCCCCACCGCCCTCCAATGGATCTTCAAGTGCTGCTGGAAGTAAGCTAACTATGAAGAACTTTCAAGTTTGGAATAGCTTTCTGTAACATATGCGTGTACTGATAAGCCACTGCATAAAACAAACAGATCTATTTTTATATATCCGCTGATGGAAATGCACTTTTGTGGCCTGAAGATGTAGCGTTGATGTTTTTCTCAGTCTGTAAGTCTGA